ATAAAGATTCTGTTTTTTCCAGTGATGTTTTTTATCCATTGCTTTAGCTGGCTTTCAGAACCCCAATCTTTAGTTTCATGGTGTAAATAGTAAATATTTCTTTCATGTGTGCTGTGGTAATTTTTCTCTGCTGTGGATCACTTGATCTTGATAGATTTTTCAGATAAAGAAAATCAAATGTCAGGCTAGTCACAGTTAAATACAGGGAAGTCTTTTTACAAGTCATTAGCAAATGATCCCTTAATTTTATTCAGCTCACAAGACTCAGGTTTTGGTGGTGACTTGAAATAATCTCATTTCTTCAGCAGAAGGTTTATTAGTGAGTCAATCAGCTCTGTGTGGTAACACAGAGCCATGTGAGCAATCTCCTGGTGGCTGCAGCATCTCTGGGAGCTGCTTTGCCTTGGCAATAGCACACCTGTGAAAATCCACTCGATATTGGCTGCAGGGGCTGGGCCTGATGACAGCTGGGAGATTAAAAAGGTCTCCCAAAGGTTGGCATTGTGCTGCCTGTGTCTGGGGCAGATTGCCAGGCCCAGCACATGCTCCCAGTGATAACATGGGCTGCCCTGGCCACAAAAGATGTTTTAGAGGTGGAATTTGAAGGGAAAAAGCTTCATAATGCAGTCACAAAAAGCATCCTGTTCTCTTAGCAGCTGCAACTGCCTCACCCCTGAGTGAACCTGGAAATGGCAGTGCTGGGGCTGACTGGGCTCCTTAAAGACATTATCAACAAAGCTGCTCTGGCAAGCTGGGGATTTACCAGGTTCAGTGCAGCCTGGGGTGTTCCCTCTTTCCACAGACAGCCCTTGTTCCCTGTCCCTGGTACCTGTCCCTTGCCCAGGCGCTGAGTTCTGGGGCCTTTTGAGCTCTGGCCTTTGCTTGGCTTGCTCAGCTTTGTGCTCTTCCCTAAAACCTGTGCAGCTGCAAAGTGCTGAGTTTGAGCAGAGCCCCCTGAGCCCTCTGATGTGGAGATGGCCAGGATGTTCCCCTGGAGAGGGATGAGATGCACACACACACACACACACACAGGGGTGGTACTGAGCACACAGGGACTCACAGTGCTGTGTCTGTCACATTCACATTTTCTGAAAAATCCCTTTGCCCAGGATTTTTCTCCTGGGAAGCTGAGGAGCCTCAGAGAAAAATGAAAACAATAATTATCTGATTTGCTTCTCCTGTGTTTTGCTCATGGGGAATGTGTTTGGAGATTGTTTACCCACAGGTGATTGTTCCATTGCATTCTGCTGGGAGTTGTTTTCACTCTTTGGCCAATCAGGGCCAAGCTGTGTCAGGGCTCTGGAGAGAGTCACAAGTTTTCATTATTGTCTTTTTAGCCTTCTGTAAGTGTCCTTTCTGCATTCTTTAGTAGTTTAATATTGTTTAATATAATGTAGTATTATAAAATAATACATTATCCTTCTGAGACCATGGAGTCAGATTCATCATTTCTTCCTGCAAATACAACTCTGTGTCTGTGTGGCTGAGCTTGGTGTTGATTTTGGAATCTGGTGACACTCCTGTCCTGTCTCCCCCAGCTTGGAGCCAACAGTGGGGTGCACATCATCATTTTTGATGAGATTGATGCCATCTGCAAGCAGAGGGGCAGCATGGCTGGCAGCACGGGCGTGCACGACACCGTGGTGAACCAGCTGCTCTCCAAAATCGATGGTGTGGAGCAGCTCAACAACATCCTGGTCATTGGTAGGTGGCTTTGCTCTGTCCCCAGGGCTGAGTTTTGGTCAGCTCAGGCTGCTGTTGGAGCAGGTTTAAAGGGAGATGCTGCTGTGGTTGGCAGATATTGCTGCTTTCAGCAATTTCCTTATTCAGTGTTTGGTAAGGAGGGTTTCATGCTTTAGGGGAACCTGCAAGGACTGATAGAATTGATTTTTCAGCCTGTGGGGGAGTGGGGCTGCTCCTGCTGTGCTTGTCCTGCTGCAGGAGCCCAAGGACAGGCAGGCAGAGCCACAGGAACAGGTTTGATCCCTTTGCCCTGACTCTCCCTCAGCATCCCAGAAGATGAGTGCCTGCTGTTTTCTTGGGACTCTTTGAGTGTCTCCCTTCCTCTGTGGGCCATAAACCCGCTCAGGAAACTCAGATCACTGTTTTGTTTTATCTTTCACTCCAGGGATGACCAACAGACCTGACCTGATTGATGAGGCCCTGCTGAGGCCGGGGAGGCTGGAGGTGAAGATGGAGATTGGTAAGAGCCCATTTCCTCAGCCCTGTGGACCCACAGCAGCAAAGCAAATACAGATCCTGATGGGAGCAATCCCCAGCACGGCCCAGGTGCTGAAATTCCTGCATCAATTAAATCAGACCAATAAAGCACCAATTTGGACTTCCCTAGTGATAAACTTGATCTGAATTTCTGCCCAGCAGGGTGGGCAGGCAGGACCCTGAATATTTGTGTGAATGAAAGGAGGTAAATAATGGTACAGATCATTCCTGGGTGGAAATTGCAGGAAGGAGAGGCAAGAGCACTGGGTGAACTAAAGGTTGGCCAAGAGCTTGGTTTGCCATTTAATCTGGCAACTGGAAAAACAATTGGAAAAGCAGCTTTAACTAGAAAGGGACCTTTGTAACTGTGCACAGCCAGTGAGGGTAAATTAGGGAATACCTGATCATGTAGGCTTTGTTAAGAAAATAAGCCCAGCTCATCTTAGATTCATGAGAACAAATCACTGACTTTGCATTTGAGATCAGAATTTGGTCAGTGAAGGTTGTGAGTGAAGCTGCTCATGGTGAGAAGGGGCCTTGGAAGGAGGGGACACTGGGTGGGATTTTTGGGGTCCCCAGATGAGGGAAGGAAATGATGAATCTGACTCCATATTCTTAGAAGGCATATATATTATATTATATTATATTGTATTGTATTATATTATATTATATTATATTATATTATATTATATTATATTATATTATATTATATTATATTATATTATATTATATTATATTATATTACTAAAGGGGAGAGAGAGAGGATACAGACAGAAGGCTTAACAAAATAATAATGAAAAACTCATGATTCTCTCCAGAGCTTTGACACAGCTGGGCTGTGATTTGTCATTAAATTAAAACAATTCACATGAAACCAATCAAACAAGCACCTGTTGGATAAACACTCTCCGACCACGTTCCAAAGCAGCAAAACACAGGAGAATCAATCAGATAATTATTGTTTTCATTTTTCCCTGAGGCTTCTCAGGAGAGAAATCTTGGCAAAGGGATTTTTCAGAAAATGTGACAGTGGCAATGCTGAGGGGAGGCTCAGGGGGTTTGCAGTGCTGTGCTCAGGGGTTTTGTGTGTTTTTTCCTCCATCCCAGGCCTGCCAGACGAGAAGGGCCGATTCCAGATCCTGCACATCCACACAGTGAGGATGAGGGAGCACCAGCTGCTGGCTGAGGATGTGGACATTGCAGAGCTGGCAGTGGAGACCAAGAACTTCAGTGGTGCTGAGCTGGAAGGTTTGGTTCGAGCTGCTCAGTCCACTGCCATGAACAGACACATCAAGGTCAGTCTTCTACTGGGGCAAAAAAGGGAAAATAATTCTGCTTGGAATATGGAATGTTTACCTCCCACTGAAAAGGAGCCTATCAGTGTACCTTAGGGGATGAAATTCACCTTTTCCCTGTGCTTTTCTTTCATTCTCAATTCCCTCTTCCCCCTCCTGCCCTCCAGGTGCCTCTTGCACAGCTTGCTGGGATGGTTTTTGAGGATGTTTTGCTAAAAACTGAAAGTCTTGAGCACAGTTTGTGCATTGGACCCAGGAGATGAGGTGGGAATTAGAACAGCCATTCTAGGGAGGCTCTGCTGGAGCCTGAGCAGCTCAATGTGTTGATAAATGTTCTGTGAGGAGGGGGAGTTTACAACCTCAGAGCTGGTTTGGGGACATAAAGACAAAGGTGGAAGTGTGCAGGGGGCATTTGGAAGGATGGCAGTGAATTTTGGGTGTCCTGTGGGAGAGAGAATTCAGAGAGGTGAGGGGATGGGGACTGACCTGGCCATCAGCTGGGGTCAAGTTCTTGGAGCTGGAATGGTCTGGAAATCCCAGCTCAGTGCTTGTGGGTGGAAACAGCAAATTAGCAAGGTTAGAATTTACCAGGAGAGGTGAAGAGCAAAAGTGGGGCTGTGATAAAATCCCTGGTGTGCTTGGATTGTGCTGGAACCAGGGTGTGGAATGGCAGCCAGGGGTCAGAGGTACAGGGGGGTTTTCTTTGGAAAAATGGTTAAATTGGGATTCCTGAGCCTGAAAAAGGATGGAGAGGGGTTATGGAGAGTGGGCTGGGATCAAGGAAGTGGGGATGGCTCCTCACTGTTTCCTCTGCAAGAACCAGAAGAGCAGAGGAGATGTGCTTTGTGTGGAGAAATGTTCCAGCCATGGAAGGAATCTGTCCGGTTTTCGGCTGTTTGGAGGGCCTGGAA